CCATCTCTGGTATCCCCCCATCTCTGGTGTCACTGCTTCTCTGGTGCCACCTGGGGGGAAGGGGTGCCGGGGTGGGCTTTGGGCAGGGTCACCCCCCTGTGCCCGCGGGGACGGGGACAGCGGGGGCTCCAGCCTGTGAACAGCCACGTCCCACCTCCCCGCACCCTGGGGTGTCCCAAGGGAACGTCCCCCGAGGGTGCTGAGCACCCACCCAGGAGGAGGATCCGTCTCAGCGGGGTGAGGTCCCTGCCTGGGGACTCCTGGTGCCACCGGTGCCACCCCACCTCTGGTGCCACCCCATCTCTGGTGCCACCTCTTCTCTGGTGCCACCCCATCTCTGGTGCCACCCCATCTCTGATGCCACCCCATCTCTGGTGCCACCTCATCTCTGGTGCCACCCCATCTCTGGTATCCCCCCATCTCTGGTGTCACTGCTTCTCTGGTGCCACCTCTTCTCTGCTGTCACCCATCTCTGGTGCCACCCCACCTCTGGTACCACCTCTTCTCTGGTATCACCCCATCTCTGGTGCCACCCCATCTCTGGTGCCACCTCATCTCTGGTGCCACTACTTCTCTGGTGCCACATCTTCTCTGCTGTCACCCATCTCTGGTGCCATCCCTCCTCTGGTGCCACATCTTCTCTGGTGCCACCCCATCTCTGGTGCCACCTCATCTCTAGTGCCATCTCTTCTCTGGTGCAACCCCACCTCTGGTGCCACCCCATCTCTGGTGCCACCCCACCTCTGGTGCCACATCTTCTCTGGTGCCACCTCATCTCTGGTGCCACCTCATCTCTGGTGCCGCTGCTTCTCTGGTGCCATCTCTTCTCTGCTGTCACCCATCTCTGGTGCCATCTCTCCTCTGGTGCCACATCTTCTCTGGTGCCACCCCATCTCTGGTACCACCCCATCTCTGGTGCCACCCCATCTCTGGTGCCACTGCTTCTCTGGTGCCACCTGTTCTTTGCTGTCACCCATCTCTGGTGCCATCTCTCCTCTGGTGCCACATCTTCTTTGGTGCCACCCCATCTCTGGTGCCACCTCATCTCTGGTGCCACATCTTCTTTGGTGCCACCCCATCTCTGGTATCACCCCATCTCTGGTGCCATCTCATCTCTGGTGCCGCTGCTTCTCTGGTGCCACCTCTTCTCTGCTGTCACCCATCTCTGGTGCCACCTCTCCTCTGGTGCCACCTCTCCTCTGGTGCCACCTCACCTCTGGTGCCACCTTGTCTCTGAGGACCTGGGGACCTTTGTGGGCTCCCTGGCTGGATCCCATACCAAGCCCCGAGCGCAGCCAACCCCACTTCCCCAACCCAGTGCAGGATCCGGCCCCGTGTCCCCTCCGTGCAGGGGGGGTCACCTGAGGACCAGCCCCTCCAGTCGAGCCACCCCACACGGCAACCAGAGGGCCAGCAGGCA